TTCCTAAAATAATTTTACAATTAAAAATCGGAAATATCTGAAAACAATCATAATGGAAACTAAAAAACATAGTTCACGGAAACTGTTGTTCTTGTACGAAGGTCTAATTTCTACAGAGAAATCAGAAATAACCCCTAAAATATCGAGAGTTTAAAATTACAGTAATAAGGGAATTTGTTATTACGAATTTATGTAAATAGAGACTTAGGTATGTCTCATAAAAGTTAAGAAGCACGGTATATCATGGGCTAGAAATGATGATAAATGAAACTACTTACTAGATATTATTAAGTAGCATAATATATATATATAATACATTTTCTTTCCAGGCCTTCAAAGAGTAGAAGATTACGTAAAATGATTTATACTAATTCTGTCAAAATTTATTAATGAAATTCATTTGGCAAAGAGTTCCACTTACCTCACATAATTTACCAAAGATCATAATTATTGATTAAGGGTGTCAAATAACAAACAAACACTCAATGCCAATATTAGATTGTACCAGCTAAAACAATTTTTTCATGATAGACAAAGATGGATAGTGGATAGCAGTGGAATTGAGGACACGCGTTTCGTCCTATTTCGGATTCGTAATCTGGATGTACCTGCATCTCAGAGTTGATTTTCACTCCAGCCGTCCGAGTCCCAAATATGACGTATTCTACTAATAGCTACTGTTCATCATTACTTAGAATGTTTGTGTTTTAAGGCAATATCGAGGCAATACGCACAGTATGTACATATGCCAATATTTGATTGATCAGTTGCAATCTTAAACATCCATGAGAATAGTTTAAGTAAACAATGACATAGTTCAAAGCTTTAAACCGGCTCTTGTCGTCTGAAGTCTCATCAAAAATAATGTTAATACTTGATCAAGTAAATACAATGATATCATTTGATGGATTTAGGTAAGTAATTGTCTCTTAACAGAGAAAACAATTTCATGTTGATCTTAGTGAAATAACCATTAAAAACTAAGAAACACCGGACATTTGTTTAGTCATAGGTCAAGAATCAAGAACAGTGACCAGCTAACAACTCAGAACTTGATAGCGTCACAGAGAGCGCTTAACCTCCAGACCACTGAGCTGGCCTCCATTGGTTAACATTTGTTAATTATAATTAATTTGTGATATTACTCAATCATCGTTCGATAACAACGTCATATCAGATATCACACATTCACTGGTTACTGATTCTCACGAAAACGCTAAAATTTGCCTCTCGAAGTTAGGCACTAATGAACACATGATTAATATTAATGTAAGGGGTATGTGACGTTATGATATAAGATGACATATACATAAATTCTGGCCCTATGGTTTTACTGTCTTGCTTTTAAAGATCGAATAGAAAAAAGAGGGAGAGTAATCACAGTGTACTAGTATAAACCCACTTTTTATTTATGAGAAAAATATAAAATAATTAAAGAATATTATTAAGATACATATATTATTTCACTTGCTATTGTTTACTTAAAACTTCCCATTGATGGTTAGAACTGCAATTGGTCAGTCTCTTATTGGCATGTATAGATCGCTTCGATAGTGCCTTAATTCACAAGCATTCTATGCAGAGATGGGTAGTGGCTAACGATGGGATCCAGGAGTGAATATCAACTCTGAGATACAGGTATATCCATCTGACAAGTCCAAAATGGCATGAAACTCGCGTCTTCTATTCCACTGCTAGCCATTATCCATCTTTGCATACAAATATTATTATGTTTGTCAAAAATATCCTCTATATATTATGGTTAATGAATAGAGATAAAAGTATTACATGAAAAAGATCTTAAATATAACTTTGTGCTGATTATGTCTTTCAGAAGAACAATGAAAGCTCCACGATCAAACCATCCAGCTCAGAGAATATAACCCCATCAAAATCATTCACCTGAGCTATAAATCTCCACAATCTTAAATATAATTGAACATTATTTAAATAAACCAATGAAACAATTAATAAAATCAACATCGTGTTATATTTTATTTCAATAGTTGAGATCACGAGTCAATTGAATCTAGACCACCATGGATAACCTAAAGGCATTGAACGGCCGTTCCGTTCAAGTATGGTTTTCCTCAACTGTGCATGTCCACGATCAGTCACATGGATATCGAACAAATCATCGATCCTCGTCCAGATCAAGAACAACTAACACGCATCAGTTAGTTGTTTGCCATGGACTCCAATGGTGGTAGTCTCGCTAACTTCTCTGTACTCATTCTTACTAATAAAACCTAGAGACAGAAGGTCCTGTGTTTGAGTCCCACATGAGGGATCGTGGATGCTCAATGCTGATAAGTTTTGTACTAGGATGAAACGGCCATCTAATGCTTCCCGTGAGGTGTGACTTTAAAGTTAGCTGGTTTGTCATACCACTCCCGTTTAACTCGAGTATACCTCCAATCATTCGACATAGATAATCTACGTTGGTGACCTACAAACGCTATTTACTGAAGATAATACATTGAAGAAGATAGCTCTTTTCAGGTAAATCGGTGTACAGCTTAAAATAAAATAACTTTTAATTAAGAAAATTTTTTTTACCATTTAACACTCAAATCTCTTCATATAAATTATCTTACAGATGCTTGTTGATCACCAGATTACTGTTCGAGTGGTTGTTGATTCAATGTTTTTAGGGAAGTCGTCTGGCTACACGATTCTAGCAAAATATTGGGGAAGACGACTGAATATAAAATGAAGAGACAGCTGAAGTGCCTAACTTCTTATGACTGTTAGGGATGTCTTGGATAACAGAAGTGGAGAAATCATGAGTCAATTGAAGTCAGATTACCATGAAAAACCTGGAAACATTGGATGGCCGTTTCGTCCTATTATGAGACTCCCCAACAATGTCCATCCACGATCCCCCGCGAGATTCGAACCCAGGACCTCACATTTGTTTGCTACAGCAGAATGACAGTTTGTATGTTGAATAACAGCTTACAAACGAGTTTGGTTTTCCATGCTGGTCTAGCTTCGATTGACTCATGATTTCAACTATTGAAAAGATGAATTCTCAAAAATAGTCAATAAAATATAAACCCACATTTCAATTATTTTGAATAAATTTCAAATTAATAAGTTTTTGAGGCCAGATCATTTAATCACAACGGTTGTGCTACTCAATATTTTGAAGTTATTTTCACATACAAACTATGGATTATTTTTGGCCTGTTATTACACTTAGGAATTATTTCAAATAGATAATCAAATAGATTATTTAAAACCTAATGAATTCAATGTAAGAAATTGATGATTCTTAATATTTCAAAGATTCAATATATTGAAATGTAACAGTAAATGCTTACAGCTAACAGTGAAATTATTTACAGACAATAGTTAGATTTTTGTATTCTGTGTATCTCTTCCATATGTCAGTATCACAGCCCTCACACATATCGAATGAGATTTCTGTAGCGATATTCCTTTGGTGCCTCTTTGTACCATTATCTATGTGTTGAAATAAATAAATAAATAAAAATATCTACATCCCTAAGTCATTTGATATTTGATTCATTGGAGCTACTAGCCTTACAGTTACATATATCACGTCATTCCTGATAATACTAAATTTGGATATAATAGCTCTATTTCACCAGATAAAGCATTAATGCAGGCTGTTAAAGTCTGAATATATGTAATCAGATTGTTTGAAATAGACAACGCAAATACATTGCTTTGTTTGGATCAAGTCCGTCTTCTTATTTCTCTAACGGTATATACTTTGATTTAAAGAGTATGTTTATGATGTACTAAATAAGCTTTGAATCTGCTATCATTCATATTCATTTTTGGTTTCTCACCGAGATTAAACCTAGATTCTCTAGGTTAAGTGGCAAGCAAGTTGATGTTGACCAAATAGATCAGCAAATAGAATATGACACAGAATACCATACTTACTGTTAACAACAATGTTATACATTAGAATTATGGTTTAAAATTTGATCAATAATTTTATGTCATTCCATTTTATTTTGTTTCATTGGATCTTCACCACATGAAATGTATCTATCTTGTGATAACTGTTTTGCATACATGTGAAATTTGAACAGATTCAAAGTCAATTATCGGTTCCTTTGATTGAAATAAATCTTCAAATGTAGTATACATATATACTCTAATTATAATGGGTAAGATATAGAGAAATGATACAATTTCGGATATATATATATATATATATATATATATATATCATATTGTTAGGTTCTACTGTCATTTTGCGTATATCTTCGCAACAATTGTTACGTATACTAATTTACAAATGATGATATGAACATCCAGTATGTGTATAGGTAATTTGATTCTGAATAGAAAAACCTTATTTCTTTAATTTTATTTTATTTTTCGATATGTGAACACATGTTTTAGAATCAAATTACAATTTTTACTAATCGGATTTACTGAATTAATAATAATAGTAGTAGATAGTAATTAATTGGGATCATTTGTCATAAAGATGATGATAATGATTAATACAGTGTTACTGTTATCAGTGATGATGGTGATAATGATGACAATGACAAAGGAATTGATAATTGAATTTACACAACCCTTATTCTTTTTACAATATTTAAACAGATGACAGTAATCAGTGACTACGTATCTCAATTAACATTTTGCTAATAGTTGTTACACTTTGAAGTAACAGATTACAAGTTATATATGTGTTACAGTTTCATATATACGCTAAAAAATGTATAATAGATTACTTAATGTATTAGAGGAACTACTCAATCACGATACTTGTGATTAATTTGACCTTATTTGTAATAGTAAATACTAAAGCTTATATATAAATACATATGATGATATATAACATCATTTTTCTTCTTCTAATTTGTATAATAAGGTAAATCGGTGCCAGAGTTTTTGTCTTCAAATGATATACTATTACTGTCACATTCATTACAAATTACAATCTGAATATATTTTACAATGGATAAATCAAAAAAGAATCTGTTCAATTATCCTTTGTGACCATTATGAATGAGCAGAGTTTTAGTCGCTACCATCATTCAACTAATTTAGATGAATGTCAAGAGAATAATAATGATGTTGATAATGGTCGTCCATTTGATAATGACTCTTTAGAATATCAGTCAAATAACAGTACACTATCATCATCATCATCATGTTATGTTAATTATGAACTACAAAGTAAGAATTATGATTCTGATGAAATTCTTGATTTGAGAATGCATAAAAATAAAATCTTTGACACTTGGCCATCAACAACAATATCTTCATCTTCATCCTTTAACTCGTTATTTTCCACAAATATAAACCATGATAATCATTCGTGTAAAATATCGAATTCAGAATTATTAAATAATCTAATTGAAATGAATAAACAACAACACATTGATGCTTTATTCAATCATCATTTAACTTCATCATTATCTTCATTACCAAGTACTACTACTAATACTACTACTACTACTACTACCACCACCAATAATACTACTAAGTTGAATACATTTTCAACTGCTTTAACATCATCAGTAGTATATGAAAAATTAACACAAACAATAACCACTTCCAATATTAGTCCTATAAATAATTTAATAGATTTTACCAATACACTATCAAAAACTATTCATACATTATCTAAATATCATTATTCTAAATTAAATGATCATCAACCAAAATCATTATCGAATATTAAACATTCAATTAATCATGAATTTCAATTGGATAAAATAAATTTTCTTTCAAATTTCCCATATTATCTTTATCGAATTTTTTCTACATCAAATATCATTCCTACTATTCAACAACTACAACAACAATCACACCAGCATCAGCAGCAACACAATCAAGAACGACAATCCTATAATTCTATTAATTCATCTTCAATAGATCCTTTACAAGATAATACAAATATTTCATATTCATTATTAAAACCATGTATAAAATTTTCTAATATGAATTCAATCAATCAACAATATGCAACATCATTTGAATTATCAATTAATTTTATAAATTGGTATCATCAATTTATGCAAAATTTACATCAATTATTATTAAAACAACAATTCAAACAACAACAACAGAAAGTATGATCATCATCCTCAACAACAACAGCAGCAGCATGATCATCATCATCATCCTCCTCAACAACAACAAGATCATCGACAACAACAACGACAAATTGATCATCAACAAAATGATCAAAGTTTAAAATGGATTAAAAGGAGACAAATGAATTCAATAAAGAATATCAAATTAGTTTAAGTTCATTTAATTTACATTTAGATAAAGAGAAATATTATCAAAAGATAAATAATTCAACAGATCATTTAAAAGTCAATAAATATGATACATCAAATGATGAAAATTTTTCTAATTTTCAATCAAATCAAGGTGATGATTGTAATATACATATTTATATATCAGAAGGGTTTTTGTGGATATATTGTAATTTCACTGGTTGAAATCATGAGTCAATTGAAGCTAGACCACCATGAAAAGCCTGGAGGTATTGAATGACCATTTCTTCTTATTATGGAACTCATCAGCATTCACGATCCTATCTTACGAGATTTGAACACAGGATCTAACTGTATCGCATGCGAGCACTTAACCACTAGACCACTGAGCCGGCAGTGGAGTTCAACCGTGTCTGTTGTAAAATAGTAACTCACTGATGACAATGGTCCATGTGTGGCTCAATTTAGTGGATTGATTGAACTTGAACATTAACACCGTTGGATGCAGACTCGGTGGCCTAGTGATTAAACGTTAGCACACGAGACTGATAGGTTCTGGATTCGAACCTCGCGAGGTAGTATCGTGAATGTGCACTGCTGAAGAGTCCCACAACAGGTCGAAACGGCCATCCACTGTCTCCAGGTTTTCCATGGTGGTCTACATTCAAATAACTCACGATCTCAACCATTGAAATATATATAACATTAATCGTATTTTTATTCGTATAGATATATTCCCCCTATATTAAACGATTGGAAATGATCATTCTGAAATTTCATATCTAGATTTCATACTAGTTGGTATATTCTTGCCTACTAAATTTGCAATATTTTGAGAGAAATAATACTTCCTATGAGATTTGAAGTTAAGTAACAAAGTTTTCAAGTCTTAATACTAAAGTATTAAACAAACATGAGTGAGACTACAGTTTATAGACGACCTTTGAGCGGCGTAAAATAACCTTGATCATGTTCACCTACTTATTAGGGCTACATAATTGTTATAAACCAGTGTGAGGAATTAAGATTATGATTTTCAGTTGATGCTTAGTATTAGGAATCAGATTTAGGGTTTTCATCACGAAATGACATCAGCTAAAATACCGAAACGTTATTTTGTTCAAATGGATAAATGAATTTCGCGCCGAAATTCAAAACCTGTTATCCAAAATCTGATTGGTTAGCCCATAAATTATAGTCTGGCCTAAACATGATGTTAGTAGTTACTCAATGGTCAATTAATGATGAATATTTCATTATTTCCAATTGATAAACAGCTTATTTATGATATTAATATGTCGTATTTGAATTAATGGTTATCACTTATTAATTATACTATATATATATACAAGCGAATGGTGTGTCTAAAACTAATATTCAAGATTTAAACTAAGTATACTACAAATGTATCCTTTGTTGACTGGCTTAAATGAATTCCTTAGAGCAAAACATTAAATTACCTGACGATAAACTTCCAAAGTATAGTGTTGTACTAAGGACAGTAAAAGAAATCATATTTAATTACCTAAAAGATTTTGATGCAGAAAACTGGTCGATTTAGAGGTAGTTTTTATCACCAAATGAGTGACACTAATTAAATAATTCCTGAATGTTTGAAAACAGTAAATGGTTGTTTAGTTTTGGATTGGAGCCATTAGGCAATTCTTAAACTTAATCTCATATAGGGTTGGACTAGAAACAGTAGGTAGTTTACACCACGGACTGTTTGTAACGAGACAACCGTTGAAGACTAAAAAGCACCGGATCGCTATTTCGTTCTCGTATGGGGATCTTCAGAATTGAGTAACTATGAACCTGCAGGGGACCAAACCTGAAAACTAAAGAACCCATTGTGAGCGCTTAAAATCCAAACGGCGAGACTCTAATTTATGGACGACTTTTGAACGAACCTTACGTGACCTTGAGAAATATTAACCAATCAGCAAACATTCAGTATAGAGTAAAAATATATTATACAAAACCATGGAAATAAAGTGGATACACTTCTTATACTTGGTTCAAAAACTTATCAAGGTTAGAAAGAGGTTCAGAGGTTCTGAAATCGTAATGCATGCAGTGGAGGAAATCATCCATACAGCTACAGAATAGCCGGCCTATGGATTCATGATAAAGTCTCAAATACTCTTTCAGCCTCGACCACATAGCTTCAATATTGTTTATATGCACTCCGGTTGTTGAGTACACAAAATGCTACTTGTGGATAACAACACGATGCACATAACCAAGCCTATGTAGGAGTCTGTACGCTCTCCAAACATCTGTATATGTTGTAGTACCTGACTGCAGCCAGTGTTACTGGTGCTTTTATTATCCAGTTCGCAATGATTGTCGTAATTTGCCATATTTAGGAATTATATATGAGGTTTTCATCACAAACTGACATCAGCTATAATTCCAGAAATTTATTTAGCCAAAATCCGAGATCATTATCTTATACCTGATTGATTCGTCCACAAATTATAGTTTCGTTGTTTTATTTGTTATAGCCGCTCAATTATCACGTTTTATAAAAAAATTCCCTGTGAACCGATCGTACGTTAGCATTAAGCACTAAAGTTGGCGCCGTAACCTTGAAATCTCTAAAACGCTTCTGATTGGCTCGTCCATAAATTAGAGTCTCGCCATTCAACCAGTTGACCAGAAACCCCTTTGTTCGAATATTATTGTTTAGAATAAATCTCGATCTAGTGCAAATGTTGATTAATATTGCTGACCTTAAACCTACTCCTATTTTTAATTTGTTATACCACATAAGTCACAGCTTTCTCTACGGTAAGAAAATGATTCCAGAAAGATGAATAGAAAGTCAGTTAATTTAAAGGGAAATAATCTATTATATTAATTCAGTGTTTTTAATTTACATAGATATTCACTGATCTCTCGTTTATATGATCAATGAAATTTTATATGCTATTTTTCATGACTCTGAACCATAGTATATCTCAGTCAGAATAATGTAAAATCCAACGACATTTAAACTATCAGAATTAATAACTAACAAATTTAATGGTTTAATTATAAAAAAAGACATGAAGAAGCCTACTATTATCAACAGAATCAACCTAACCCCTCCTCCCCCCAAAGAAAAAGGAGATGAAAATAGTTAATATTAGTAAAATTCATTTTAAGATAATACAACGGCTGAAATAATTTTATATTCTAAGAACAAAAAAGTTTAGAATTTAAGTGTAATCGTGAACCTTTAACAGTTTTTTTTATTAATTTACAATTGAGTGATCAATCGGTGGTGATCAATGTCATGTATGTCAAGTCCTTTTTAGTGCAGATCGAATCTTATTGATCAAGTTGCAATGTAGCTACTAGTCTAGGTGATTCAACGTTACGTGCACTATGTTGAGATAAGCTGGTAGTTGAAGGTAGTCAACAGGAAACCCTGGACCTAGGTTTCGCACTACTTGGCACTCGTTAGGAAGGTGTACATGTATTCTTGAAAGAACTTATGCTCCTTGACGAATTCGGTTGCGTGTCACCCAACTTCACAGTCAGAGACGTTACCACTGGGCTATCCGCGCCACGACTGACCTCCTATAGGATTGAGATGTATTTACAATTGATTGATCGCTGGGTGATGATCAATGTCATGTATGTTAGGTCGTTCTTAGTACAGATCGAATCCTATTGACCAAGTTTTTTTATTAATGACAAACAACCATAGTGTACTTATCAGAAAGTTTATCTACATATTAGAAATGAATAACAGTGTGTGTACTTTTTTTCCTTCACACCGTTTGTGATCTAACTTTACTATGTTCGAAGTTATCTGAATTTCTTAAAAATGATAGGAATGTCAAGTTATAAATTAATGATAAATAGAGGCTTTTATCAATATTCTAAATAAAGTCTCCTTTACAGTATGAAGTAATGAATCAAATAGAAACAAATGTCGATTGGTACCTTGTTCTAATTAATTGGTAACTAATAAATAATAAGTTGTTTTTCAAATTGATGAGATCCTGTAAGCTATTGATTTAACTATTAAATAAAACGTTTGAAGCCTAAGATAACATAAAGCTTAGCTAATAGTCTATATACTTGCTGTTATATCAATTTCATTTATTCATAAACATTTAAAAGTAACAGCCATAATACCCTCCGTCGACTTGTTCACAAAATAAATAAATATTAATCTGGAGGTTTCTTAGTCTTAGTCAATTAAATCTTGTTTATAATCAGAAAGGGGTTTTGTGGATATGATAGTGATTTTAATAGTTGAGATCATGAGTCAATTGAAGCTAGACCACCATTGAAAACCTGGAAGCACTGGACGACCGTTTCGTCCTATTGTGAGACCTTTCAACAGTACGCAACAATGATCCCGCCTAGCGAGACTCGAACCCAGGAACTATAAGTCTCTCTCGCCGACGCTTAACCTCTACACCACTAACGGTGTTAATGTCTAACTTCAACTAATCCACGAAATTGAGCGACACATGCACTATTGTTTTCAGTGAATTACTATCTCACAACAGACCCGGAAGCACTGTGCTTCCAGGTTTCCTATGATGGTCTAGCTTCAATTGGCTCATGATTTCAACTATTGAACTTACTATAATATTCACAAAAACCCCTTCTGATAATACTTAACATATGCTTAGAAGTGACTGGCCCCAAGAGGTATTTCCTGGAGTTCTAGTGAGAAGTAGTGACCAGTGGAGTTCAACCGGCTCCATTGTAAGTTAATAAATCCCCGAGGACAATGGTGGATGTATCGCTCAATTTGGTGGATTAGTTAAAGTTAGACACGAACACCGTTGAATACCGACAAGCTCAGTGGTGTAGAGGGTAAGTGTTTTATTACGCGGGAGACCGAATGCTGTGGATTGGAGTTCCACGTGGCAGATCATGAACATGCACTATTGAGGAGTCCCAAAATAAGACGCAAACGGTCATTTAGTGCTTCCAGGTTTCTCATAGTGATCTAGTTGCAATCGACTCATTTGTTTTTATTTTGTTTTATTTATTTTAGATGAATTACCTATTGATTCATGTTCACAAAAATGGATCATTTATCAAAATGAATCAAATCTTTTATCTGAACAATCAACATTTACTAAATCAATAAATGATAAAATCAATACAAAATTATTCAATAAATCTAAATTATCCTATTCTATTAATTCATCACTATCATCATCATCATCATCATCTAATCCAATTCATTATTATCGTCATATTTATCATTATCATCATAATCAACAATTAATTAATAATCGTATTAAATATAAATTACAATTAAATAATAATAATAATCATCATAATATAAAAATCAATAAAAATTCTAATTTATTATATCGTTATCAATGTCCACATTGTAATAAAGAATTTCCACGTTCAGCTAATTTAAATCGTCATTTACGTACACATACTGGTGAAAAACCATATCATTGTGAATATTGTCAAAGAGGTTTTAGTATATCATCTAATATGCAACGTCATATAAGAAATATACATCAACGTGAACGTCCATTTATATGTACAATATGTAAAAGAGCATTTGCTCAAAGAACTAATTTAGATAGACATAAACGTAATCATTGGTTACATAATTCATAAAACTTATAAAATGTATATTTATTCATTTATTTATTCAATTCGAATCAACATTATTTTCTTGATTATTTTGTTTGTTTGTTTGTTTATTAGTCACTTTTGATTGTTGAACTTTGTAAGATGATTTCATGTTCATATTGTTCATGATATTTTCTTTTCTTTTTAAAAAAAAAATAAACAGTAACAAAGAATGTTGATCTATTTACTTTTGAGATGGTGAAGAAGATTTGTAGCTCAGGTGGATGATTTTGATGGAGCTTTGTTCTCTGAACTGGATGATTTGATCGTGGAGCTTTCATCGTCCTTCTGAACAATATCATCAGCACAAACTTCAGACAGAAGTGAAGTGTTCGGATTTCTCCATATGCGTTTCACAGCTTGTTTTGTACACCTCGATGTCGATTGGTTCTTGTTGACCTTAAGTTTGTCATTGTTTACTTCTTTGTTTTGGTTGTGTCTCCTATTAGTTTGATTTTTGTTCCTATATTTGTGCATGATTTTCCTGATTGATTGATAAATTGGATTGATTTCAATTCTCTGATGTTTTTGGAATTTCCTCTGTCCAAGATTTTCACATTTTTCCAATCGAATGAGTGTCCGCAGTTGTCCACGTGTATTGATAAAAGTGAGGAAATATCATAGCGTTTGACTACTAATTGATGTTCATGTAGGCGAAGGTGAAGAGAGCGTCCGCTTTTTCCAATGTAGTGTTTTTCACAGTTGGCACAATTTATTTTATAGATGATGTTATATTTGTTTCTGGAGGTGTACAGAACAAGCTGTGAAACGCATATGGAGAAATTCGAACACTTCACTTCTATCTGAAGTTTGTGCTGATGATGTCGTTCAGAAGAACGATGAAAGCTTCACGACCAAACCATCCAGCTCGGAGAACAAAACTCCATCAAAATCTATTTACTTTTATTAACAATTTTAATGATTGAATAGATATTTGAGGTTATTCAACAGGAAATCTATATTGTATTCTACACAGTTTGTTCACTTAATGAATAAATGAAGTGTATTCAATCATAGATAGTGGCTAGCAGTGGAATCCAGTTTGATACGTCTTTCGTTCTGTTTGGGACTCTTCAGCTCGAAATATATGCATCTCAGAGTTGATGTCCATTCTAGGAGTTAAACCCAGTATCATTCGCTTCAAACGCTATCGCGTTATGTACTCAGCTACTGAGTCTTGATAGTTATTTGCCTGTGTAATGGGGTGAATTTAAATTCACTTGGTATGTCTCAAATTAACTCGGCGCCCAAATATTGTGAAACTATTCGTTCAAATTTAGACGAAAGTTCTTATTCACTTGGTATTGTTTGCTTGAATCTTCCCATTAAGGTTTAAGACTGCAAATGATCAGTCTGTTATTAACATATGTGCATGCTGTGCGTATTGCCTCGATATTACCTTAATTCACAAGCTTTATAAACAAAAATAACAGACTGATCAATTGCAATTTTAAACCTTAATGGGAAGGTTCAACGAAATAATACCAAGTGAATGTATTCAATCATTTCTGAAATAATTTCCCTTTCAATTTACGTCATTATCTTCATGATAATTTTTTCTATCTGATCAGTCTCATTGAGTTATATCTAATTTACTTATGGTAGACTTATATTTCATAGGAACATTTGTAAACTGAAAACATTGGAAATTGTTGTATTTAGCCAAATATAAAGTATTTATACAACAATCTGTGGAGTTTTGCGATTACGGTAGTATAAAAATAGTTTAGAAAATTACTATTAATTTCCTAAGCACTCTGAAGGTAAACCCTAAAATAGCTGTCTTAGTTAATATAAAACAATGTCAACGTGAAAAATGTTATGCAAATAACACAGTTACTGTATATTGAAACAACAGAATCCGTAATAACATCATAAGCGATTAAACAATGAACAGCGAAATATTCAATGTATAATAGCAGTACTCAAAAATCTTGCCATTAAAAGATCTGAAGTTGAAAATCGGATATTTTCCAGAATATAACTTCAGCGTAAATAAGTAATATTATGTAGAATTGTTTATGTAAAAAGAAATGACCTTTTGATGTTTATATTTCAAGTTGTACTCAGTCCTGAAATAAACCTGTTGTTAGTTATTTGAAAATTCAATTATTTCTGAGTATTTTTTTTATCGAAATCATGAATCGATGAATGTTAGATTACCATTGAAAACGTGGAATCATTAGGTGGTTGTTTCGTTCTAGTATGGGACTCCTCAACAATGCGCATCCACAATCCAACACGTGGGACTCCAACACAGGACTTTCTGTCTCCAGCTTTGCAATGGTGGTCTGACATTCATCCATTCATGATATCAACCAAAATTCAACAATATCCACAACCCTATACTGATAATCATCATGTAAATAGTTTCAACACCAATTTCATGCAGTTCTAGTAAGAAGTTGTGACCAATCGAGTTCAACCGTGTCAGTTGTGAAGCAGTTATTCACTGAAGACAATGGTGGATAGTGCCTCGATTTCATGGATTAGTTGAAGTTAAACGTCAACACCTATGAATGCCGATAAGCTTAGTAATGTAGAAGTTAAACGTTAACATAAGAGACTCATGATCCTGGGTTCGAGTCCCACATGGAGGATCATAGATATGCACAGTTGAGGAGTTCCATATTAAAAAAAACAGCCATCCAGTCGAAATTATAAAATTTATTCTAGAAGTATACTTTATGAAACTTAAGAATTTTGAAATAAAAGTATCCAATTAATAATCAAATGAATAATCTTGAATTAAACGTTGAAGTATATTGTATCCTCTTTGATTTATGAATATTTAAACTGAAGAATATTTTAATGAAATTAAGAATATCGATAACCTATAATGAGATTTAAGCACATTTTTGTGTAGGGTGTTTTAAAGTTCATTATATAATATAAATCGACATATATAAACTCCATTTCATATGTTTCTTTCTAGGAACTAATTCTTACTTCTTGTATTATATCCTTATATGTCATCTTTCTTTTATATATAAATATTACTACCGATGAAGGAACTACTTCTATGAATTTAGTGTTGATCTTGATGTGATAATGAGGTATGGCAACATGGACCGATGTATATATGTGCCTAATCCTACAATGTAGCTAACTGACTGATATATATATAAACTAAATAAGAAGTTTCTTTCTTTCTTTCTTTCCAACATCTAAAGAATTTGATAACATAAATTTAATCTACAAAACTATCCTTATTGTTATTCATTTTCATTAAATTGTGGAAATTCGCTTAATCAATGAAGTTATATATGTTGAATGAAAACAAGTTAATGCTTTGACATTACGTTAGGAATTTGAAGGTATCTGGTGTTACAATTAACTCCGCCTGGAGTCCCTCCGGGGGCTACTGCCGGTCCCAAGCCCGGATAAAGGAGGAGGGTTGGGCATGGGGTTAGCGTCCCCATCCCGTAGAAAACTAACTCACTAAAAAAAACGCTAATCAGAAAAAATTATTCAAACCTTTTAAACTCTGCCCAGGGAGTCAGAAGGTCTTCATTTAGAAGAATTATGACGCCTCATGATGAAAACCGAATTCCTTCGGAAGTTACGAGGCCGATGCCCCTTCTGACAACCAGAGCGACCATTTATTTAGGTACATGGAATGTTCGTACAATGTGGGACACCGGGAGAGTCTTCCAAATTGCTGCAGAAATGAGAAGATACCTAGAGGTACTTGGGATCAGTGAAACACATTGGACACAAGTTGGACAACAGCGACTAACTACAGGAGAGCTCCTGTTATACTCCGGCCATGAAGAAGAAAATTCCCCACATACACAAGGAGTTGCATTGATGCTGTCCAAACAAGCGCAAAATGCGCTTATAGGATGGGAATCTCATGGACCAAGGATCATCAAAGCCTCGTTCAAAACAAAGAAAGAGGGTATTTCAATGAACATCATCCAATGCTATGCGCCTACCAACGACTACAATGAAGACGCTAAAGATCAATTCTACAATAGGCTGCAGTCAATCATCGAGAAGTGCCCAAAAAGGACCTGACCATTCTGATGAGAGATTTCAACACCAAGGTTGGAATGGACAACACCGGATATGAAGACATCATGGGACGACACGGACTGGGAGAAAGAAACGAAAATGGTGAGAGATTCGCAAACCTATGTGCCTTCAATAAACTGGTCATAGGCGGCACCATATTCCCACATAAACGCATACACAAAACAACATGGACTTCACCGGATCACACCACGCAAAACCAAATCGACCATATCTGCATCAACAAAAAGTTCAGGAGGACGATGGAAGACGTGAGAACCAAGAGAGGAGCTGATATAGCATCAGATCATCACTTGTTGGTCGCCAAGATGAAATTGAAACTCAAGAAGTACTGGACAACGGGGCGGACAATATCACAAAAGTTCAATACGGCCTTTCTTCAGGATACTAACAAACTCAACAAATTCAAGATAGTCCTCAGCAACAAGTTCCAGGCCATTCATGATCTACTCAATGGAGAAGGAACTACTGTGGAGAGCAACTGGAAGGGGATCAAAGAGGCAACCACTTCAACATGTCATGAGGTCCTGGGTCACAAGAAGCACCATCACAAGGAATGGACCACTGTTGATACACTGGATAAGATTTAAGAAAGAAGGAACAAGAAGGCAGCAATCAATACCAGTCGAACAAGAGCAGAAAAAGCCAAGGCACAAGCTGAATACACAGAAGTTAACAAACATGTGAAGAGGAGCATCAGAACCGACAAACGTAAATATGTGGGAGATTTAGCAATGACGGCGGAAAAGGCTGCAAGAGAAGGAAACATGAGACAACTGTATGACACGACAAAGAAACTCTCTGGAAATCGCCGCAAACCAGAACGACCAGTGAAAAGCAAGGAAGGCGAGGTAATCACCAACATTGAAGAGCAACAAAACAGGTGGGTAGAACACTTCAAAGAACTGTTGAATCGACCAGCTCCACTGAACCCACTTAACATCGAAGCA